AAAAAAAAAAAAAAAAAAACAAAAACTCAACTTTCCTATGCTAATAAAAACATGAACAAAAGGCAAAATTAATTGTATTTAAAAAAAAAAACCTTTTAAACTAAATACATGGGCACTACAGACGAAGAAACGCAGGCATTAATAAACTCCTCTTGGTCCTTTGCGATTGTCTAGTGGAGGTATAGAGGGATACCTCTATCTCACATCTCAGTGGAGGTATAGAGGGATAAATCCAACCTTCCATCAGCCAGCAAAGGGAAAGCCGCCACAAACACTGGAAGGTAATGTTATCGGCGAAAAGATACCTGTGTTTACATTAGAAAATTAAAAGGGAGAAGATATTTATAGGGGAATGCTAGGGAATACTAACAGTAGAATAATTAAAAAATAAATCTGTTTTCCTTAGGCTGCAAAGTATAATTCTATAGATAGAGCTTCAAACGACCTTCAAACATTATAAGGCTCCACCGACAAGTACAGAAGGCCAGGAAGTATTTCCATAAGCCAGGTGCTTGCTGAAAGTCAGCTCTAGAAGGGAGACAGAGATGGGAGAGAAATAACTTCCAGCTCATCAGATAATTCAGCCACCTCCAGTATATAAGGACGGTGCCCTACTCCACTGAGCCACAGGCACCACCCAATCTAAGGCCACTTTTTTCTAAGTATGTTTTAGACTCTGAACTCACCCAACACAACACAGGTGTGAATGCAAGTAGCCTAAAAATTACAGGAGATATAAAACAAGGACCTGGGAAACTAAAAGCAATTTCTAGTTGTAAAACACTGTTTGGGGTCAAGGTGGAGATTCTAACCCTAACATTTGAAGAAGGAAAAAACCAAAACTAAAACAAGCATTTTTAGTAAAAGCCAAGGAGCTCTGATTGGAGGACAGACAGGAACAGGGGTCACAGGACTGTGAGACCTAAAGAGACCATGAGGGGTGGGCAAGAGGGTTTACAAGAAGGAGTGTGGGAGCCTGCAGAGGGTGAGGGGAGGAAATACAGAAGGACCAGAAAAAAGACGTTAATGCGGACACATAATTAATGCTATTCTTGGGCATTACACCATGTTACGTAGCCCAATATGGGCACGCTGAGTTCTGGCAAATGCCAAGACACATCAAATTCAAGGAGGATTAACCCCTCTAAACTGGAAGTTTATGAACCTGTTGTAGCTTAATTCCTACCCTGGTCCTCTGAGGAAACCTCCCCTGGCCCCACCCCTAAGTCTCAGGCTCATCTTCAGGCTTCCACTGGCCTACTGCTTACCTCTTTTTCACCTCGGGCAGCAACATTCCCTTAGAGTTCCCTCCCTAGCCATATCCAAGGCCCCTGGCACTCTGTAACTAGCTCATGCTGAATCAATGGCCCAGTCCAGGACTTCCTCCTCCTCTTCCATTTCCATCCCTCTGGTTCACCTCTGCTTTTCCCTTTGGGACTAACAGGTTTGGAGCAATGGGAATAGCAGAGGAAAATAATCCAGTTTGGTTGATTTTATTTCTCCCCAAAGTTAATTATTAATAATTAAATAATTAATAATTATTTTTATTTCTTGATTTTTAATAATCCAGTTTGGTAGATCACCTTCCTGAGCCCCAAATTCTGCACTGGCCAAGGTTCCCAGGACCTGCCATTCGGCCCTGTCCCCTGCTTGTTGGGAAACAGAGGTGGACGAAAGATTTGTCTCTGAAAGCCATTACTTTAGAAGAGCGTAGTTAATGAGCTCTTGAATAGAGATCAGAGCCTCTAGAGACCAGGACGGTCTGAGTAAATTCTAAAAGGAGAGGATAAGAGGATTAAGAGGATGTAAGGCCCACCAAGTCAGTGTTTTTGCAGTGGGTATGACCAGACTGGAAGCCAGCTTAGATGACGAAATCAAGGACAGAACTTCCTTTGCTAATTTGCTAGGATAAGTCGACAGAAAGATCTACGTAATCACATACTCCAAGGTAAAGATCCAAGACTCAGAAGTTTTTCCTGTTTTGTCTTTTTAAAGTTAGGTGCTCGACAGCCAACTGTTAAACTGTTAAATGACTTTAGTTATTTGATAAAGTCAGCTCAGCTCTATAAAAAAATGCATAGCTTTTATAGGAAAAGCATGACATTCTAAGCATATGCCAACCAATCTGATATAGAAATGTTAATTTCTTAATCCAGTAGCTTTGTCATAGGACGTTTCACTGAACCACAATGCCTACCTGCATCTATTCGCAGGCCTTCCTTCATCACAAATAGAAGTCAGAATTCTCTGTGTAGGTTTTATTTTAAAAATCATTGTAGTTATAGTTTAAAAATAAAACTAATTCATATAATGTTTATTTTCTACACTGAGCGAAACAGTGGGATTGGAATGCAGTCAACATTTCAATGTTTTGGTAGAGTCTACTAGAGAACTTGGGCTCTTGCTTGTGAGTAACAAACAGATCACTAAGTTGTGCTTTATACGTTCATTCAAGGAATACTGACGACACCACCACCCATTAACTGCAAGGTATTATTACATGCTGATTTCCAAAGAACAAAGAAACACGGGGCTATGAGCCTACATTCTGACAGAGGAAACAAAACCTGCCAGAATGAGGCTGGCTTCATGCCCCAGGAGGGTGACAGGGGCTGCAGTGCTCACTTCCGGTTACACACAGCCAAGGACAAGATGCCAGAACGTGTAAAAAATGTTGATGGCCCAGTGAGAGGCAAGAAGGGACCTTCCAGCCTCTTCCTGTGCTTTCCCCAGAGCCAACAAGGTTTTCCTGTTGTTTGATCCAGCTTTATGTCCCTCTTATTTAAGCCCACTTCCTCTGAGCAAAGGAAGAATTAATCAGTGTCCTCTTAATATTAACTCCTTTGCCGAGAACAGATTTCTGTCCGTCCTTTGATATACCTTGAGTGGGTCAATAAATATTACCCCTTTACTTCTTCCTCCTATATTTTAAAAAGCAGCGTCTCAGAAATACAACCTATCATCCACATTCTTCTTGCCATCCGAGTCATGAAGAACCTGCAGGCCGCAGCATATCATCTTCATTCTGAGATGTTTCCTTTGGGCCTTTCTGAGATGAGCTCTTGCTCTGCAAGTGAACCTCCAAGTTGACCTTGGTTTTAGAAACATGTATCTCTTTGAGCCCAGGTGGGAGGTCCTTGGCACAGATAACCAAAGTTAGAAATATAATCATAATCATGTTTCTTCTTCCTGAGAAAATTAGCACTGTTATTAATTGCTTTCCATGGTTCTGCTTTCTTTTTCAAAAAGCCTTTGCTGATCATCTGCATTAATATTATGCTAATAAAAGTAAGGGGATGGTAACTAAATTAGTCTCTTCAGGAAGAACTATGAATCAGGGAAGGAGGCAATTTGCATGTTTTCTTAATTGGAGTGAATTGCCATTTAAACACTCACTGACACCATTTTAAAAAATAATAATATGTGTTGGGCCAGCCTGGACAGAAGTAATTCCTCCAGTGGAAACATCTAAACCCAAGTGTGTCAAGAGACATTTTGCTTCTAAGCCTGCATCTCAAATGACAAGGATGAGCTTTCAAACAGGGAAACCATCTGCATCTCAAATACATTTCAGTTCCTCTCTGCAGAAGGAATTCATTTACCGTTGAAGGCCATTCACTTCCACTTCTGAGTGCTTATTCCTCAAAAAGCTTCCAAGTATTGTGAGAACAATGATTAAAAGAGGATCTTTCCATCTGTGCTGCATTAGGCTGCAAGACAGCCTCTCCTGCAGAAACAGTTTTTGCATAATTCATCATGCCATTTTAAACCCTAATCAGTGAATTGCAATAAGTGATGGAGTGTGCACGGGAGAAAAGAGACTGACATTTATTAGCTACCTCCTAAGCATTCGCCTAATCCTCACTTTGGGCTATTGCTTCATGAATCATAATATACATTCCCTCATCTTCTCTCCAATGAGCTTTTACCCACACCTGAAGTGTTGCCATCCTTCTTAGCCCACTCTAACATTCCATGAAAAAGTATTTCTCATG